AGTCGTTCTAGGGTGCAAAATTAACACATAACGTTCGGATCTAGAACGAGCCGTTCCGAATCCAGAATGGGCCGTTCCGACCCACATATGATGCCTATAAATAGAAATCTCGGGCACAGTTCCTAGGGCTCCCAAATTTCATCCAAAACTTCTTAGAGCTCGAAATTTCTCTCTCTCTCTCTCCTATTGTATTTCTTGAGTTTTGTGAGGCTTATTGTAGTGTGAAAGGTTGCCACAAAGCACCTAAAATCTCCATATTTGAAGATTCAATAGAGCTCGTTCAAGAGGTATTTCAGTCAATCTTCTTCTCTCCCTTTTATTTCTTATATTTGATAAACATTGTTATAATAAAAGCAATCATGTAGACATTTTAGGGTCAATTGTATAATTTAAATTTCAAGCATGTAAATAATCATTAATAAAAGGGGATTTAATATTTATATTATTATTGTTTATAATGCTAACTTCATCATAGGGTACCGATTAAAAAAAACCTTTTTTTTTTCAATGTTTTGAGTAAAACATTGGTGGCGACTCCATGAACCTATTTTCAAAACCATTAATTAGGGATTAGTCTGGTGTCCGGGCATTCCCTAATTGATGAGATCTTTAAAAGGATGTCTAAACCATAGGTCGCGAGATCGGAAATTTTCAGGTTGTGACACCCCCAACATGTCATATGTTTTCTTAAAAAGAAAAGAAAAGTTTTTATGAGTGTTTATAGGGTGTGAAGGTTGCAAGTGGTTATACTTTCAATGTTAAGAGGCGTGTCTCATCAAAGATCTTAAATTATTAGGTTTAAAGTCTCACGATTGTCACGTATTGATACAACAGTTGCTCCATGTGGCCATTCAGGACATATTACCGAAGAATTTTAGACATGCCATTACTAGATTATGTTTCTTCTTTAATGCAATTTGTAGTAAAGTGGTTGATCCTAAAAACTTGATGAGTTAGAAAATGAAGCAATTAGAAAACGCATATTACCTAAGAATGTTAGACATGCCATCACTAGATTGTGTTTCTTATTTAATGCAATTTGTATGTTGGGGTTGGGTACGATATCATTAAATACATGTTCTTTACCCTAAAATAAGATCTAAAAAGTACCATGCAAAACAAGGGGGTTAAGGTGGTTGTTGAGTCATAATATTTCTCAACTTCTAAAGACCTTAACCCTATTACAACCTCTTTATGTTACTTTGGAGTCATTTAAGACATATGGTTGGTCGATTACACAAGTTTTAGCGCGCTAGTTATTAAGTGTAAATGAGTTGAGAATAACACTAGATTTAAAATCGATGATCTAGGTTTTACCTTAGTTAACCTAGAGAAGGAAGGTTTAAAAGACGAGTCATTCATCATGGCAAACTAAGCAAAACAAGTGTTTTATGTTACTGATCTTGCTAACAAAATTTGGTCAATTGTTCTACAAAGAAAAAGATGCATGGTATTGATGACTATGAAGATTCAATACTTGACATTTGTGAGACTCTTTCTTTCTCCACACATATGCCTAAGTTGAATATGGACAACGACAATGACATTGTACATGCTACATATGATAACCATGATGAAAGATTGTGGGAGAATATTCAGACTCAAAACCAATTAACAAGTTTTAGTATATTGTCCCCAAAGTAAGTCAATTATTAACTAAATAGTAGTTAGAGTTCAATTAAAATATATTTTAAGTATGATTTATTTATGTTTTATATTATAGTACCTACATCACGCTAGTAATCATGACTATGATTTTTATGTGATGAAGCATATGCTCACCATCATTACCAGCAACATTAAGGACTTGGAGAGAGAAGTAATACATTTTTAATTCCAACTTATTGCTTTAAATGATTATATAACAATGTAATGATCGACTAATGTTTAATTTATCTTTATTTTGAATTAATTGTGTAAGTATTCAAAAATTCACATTCATTTTTTTTATGATGACATAGAAGATATCTGTACCAAATGGACATCTTTTTTTTTTTAGGTTACTCAGGATTGATTCATTTTATCCTTTTGGTACATATATATTTGTGTACATTGTTTTAGTTTTATTTTATACATTGTTATTAATTAATGACAATTATTATTAAATTTATGATTAATAGCTATGAAAGTTAATTTATACATTATTTTAATTTAAATGATATATTATATATATTGTATAGATTAGTATTGAACTAGACAACAATATGCTAAATTAAACTACTTGGATATATATATATATGTTATGCAAGTTTAGAAATCAAAAATTGAGTAGTATATTAAAAAAATTCATATTCTATGGTAGGTTTGTCGTTATCCATCATAGAATGTACATATTTTTTGACAGTTGTGACCACACCCTTCATAGAATGTGTGCATTCTGTGATAGGTAACTCCACACCCTTCATAGAATATGCACATTCTATGACGAGTAACATCACACCCTGAATGTGGGTGACCACCCGACATAGAATGTGAACTTTTTATGTCGCATGTTAACCTGTCATAGAATATCCGAAACACCCATCATGGAATGTCTATCCTATTGTAGTATCATACTCACATCTGAAACACCCATCATGGAATGTTAACCCGACATTTTATATCATCATAATTTATGTCGCATCCTGAGTCAACATAGAATATTTGAAACACACATCATGGAATATCTATCCTATAGTAGTATCATACTCATAAGACCTATATCATACTTAATCATTACATGTGTACTATACTTACGATACATACTTCATACTCATAATACCTATATCATACTCAATTGTTACTCACATTTCATACCATATAAATTCCTAATCAATTATGTCATCCCATTATACATGTCGTAATATCAATCCATTCACATTCTTCATCACACTTTATTATACACACCGCACTAATTAACAATTATAGTGCAAAAACTATCATCATGCATCCTTCATGTAATAGACTTTGTGCAACACTTTATCTCAAGGACTCAACTCATATGCTCATCCCATTCGCTTAACACATCACCTTAATACCAATCTCATGCATACACATTATCATTTGATAAATCTCGTGCATACACATTATCATCATGTAAATCTTATACATACACATTAACATCATTTCATTCTTATATCACGCATTAAAATCATCTCACATCTGATCATTCACCAATGTTTCAAATGTTACAACAAATTTCTCAAGTCAACATTAACATCCCATTACATTACACATAACCATCTCATATCATATCATGTATAATCATATATATCACGTATAAATTTGTCATGTTATGCATAAAAATTTCGTATCACTCACATTGCATGGAAACATCTCATATTACACTTCATTGTCCTTAGTGTCATGCCTGACAGTGCTTGTACTACACCCAACGCCATCCTCATAGAGAACACACATTTCTCTCTAGAAGGACTACATTCGATGTCACCCAGTTCACACCCAACAAATTAACCACAAAGACTTCCCTGGAGCTTCCATCCCCAACGTCCTAGCCACAAAGAGCAATTTGTGCTCTCAATCGCACTCACGTCTAGTGCCCTTATTCGTGCACAGCATCACATCAGTTCATGACGACTATAGAACTTGTGAATTTCGCACCACCATTACAAGTTCCTTAATTCTCATATTAATCGACAAAGTCATTAATTTAAGGTCCCTTATCACTTGTCATGTCATTACATACTCAATTTACACCTCAATTTCTCAAAATCCTTTGTTATCACTCATCTTTATATTGCTTTATTAACACTATAAATAAGGGTTTTCATAGGCAAAAAAAGAGCCTTAAATCTCCAATTCAACAAATTAATTGACTCCCAAAAATCCTCACTCCCTCTTACCTATGTGAACACTTGTTTAAGGATGAAAATTTGTTCACACATCTTTGCGTTCTTCAATTTCAAAGGGTGAGAAGGATAAGAAGCATAAGCATAAATCCCAATTGTAACTTCAGATTCTTTTTAAAAGGATAACCGTTGACCTCACTATAACTCTTATGGTTAACTCTTTTAACTCTAGTTACAAAATCCTTCTCTCACATTTAAACAAAATAATAACTTACATGATCTATAACATAAAACACTTCTTTAATAATCATTATGCAAAAAAATTCTCAATCTTTAATTAATTAAAAACACTTCTAATTACGTAAAAGTCTTTAATTATTTTCAAAATCCACTTAACTTAAAACTCTTTTATAAATTTTAGAAAATTTGGAATATTACAGTGGAGCTTTAAAAAGTTCTTTTCAAAAAGTTATGTTCATGATACTTGAAAAATAGCTTCCTCAGAATAAACCTCACACAAGTGTCATTGCAATATGACAGAAAATTGAAATTATTTTTTGGATCAAAAAGTATGTTCCCTCAACTTTTGAGTTATTAGGAATTAAAAACCCCTAAAAACACTAAAAAATGAAAATAAAAGGTTAATTATTATATTAAATTTACATATCAAGCATAATAAATAAAAAAAATCATTGTAATGTCTTGGTATACAATCAGCATAGGCTAACGAAAGTATCTAACGATGTTAGTAATTCGAAATTTAATTAATTACAAAATTTTAAAATTATAAGCACTTTTTAAAAATATTTTTTTTATTATTAGTACTTAATTAAAAATTTAATAAAACTATATTAGGAACTTGCAAATTAATTTAGCCTAAAAATATATATTTAAAAAATACGTAAGAAAGGGAAAAAATAATATTCGTATATGTTTGTAATATATTTGTAAATGTTTTCCATTTCCTCTCTTAAATTTCCGACCATATCAGAATATATAACTTGGCTTGTTGAAAGGGAAAGAAAAGAGTAGACTACCCATTGAGTATATGGAGAAAACAATATTCATCGTACGAGATAAAGCAACCACACCGAAGACAATAGGGAAAAAAATGAAAAATATATTGATGGGACAAAAGCAGATGCTAAGGAGGAAAACATATATAGGGATGTGTCATGTATGCATTATTGAGCAAAAACCAAACAAGTGCAGTTAAACTCTCTTAATCATGGCACGAGATGGGGACCCTCATGTGGTTGGGGGTGTGATTGAGGATGTTTTGAATCCTTTCACAAGCTCGATTTCTCTCACTATTTTCTTCAATAACAAAGCCATTAGCAATGGTTTGGAACTGAGGCCCTCTCATGTTGTTAACCAACCAAGGGTTATTGTTGGTGGTGAGGACCTAAGGACCTTCTACACACTGGTAAGTATGACTAAGTTGTTAACACCTGACATTTGCTTGTTTTTTCGTTCTACATAAAAAAATTTGTTTGAGTTTCAGGTTATTGTGGATGCAGATGCACCTAGCCCTATTAACCCTACCTTGAGGGAATATCTGCACTGGTGAGTTATCTGTCTTTAGTACAAGCATAGATGAAATTCCAAAATTCATTAGGAATGATTATATCTTAGGTTTATACTATACAATAACGCCTAAAATTAATTGCATACATGTACACAAATTTACGTTGAAATATATGTGCATGCTCAAATTTTATTAAAAAAATAAAATAAATAAATATAAATTCGTTTGTTATTAATTTTCTCTCTTTGACAAATGGTAGGATGGTAATTGATATTCCAACTGCCACAAATGCTGGCTTTGGTAAGTAAGAATTCCATGTCCATGACTGTATATTAAGTTGTGTTGCACGTATACTGATGTAGCTATCAATTTGAAATTAATTTAACTGTTGTGTGTGTGGATTAAATGATGAGTAAGGGTAATATTTACTAAACTTATGATGACACTCATAGAGCTCATTCCAATTCTATTATTCTGGATTCTACTCTTGGATCCATACCAAATTAACACTTGTTTGAATCAGTTATTGGTCACTTAATCGAACCATCGAGTATCCATCCAAGGTCAATTCAATTGATTAGTCAATGGTCACTTGATCGAACCATCGGGTATCCATCTAAGATTAATTCTATTGGTTAATACTTGTTTGAACTAGTCATTGATCACTTGATTGAACCATTGGACATCCATATCCAAAATACTTGTTTGAACTAGTCATTGGTTACTTGATTGAACCATTGGATGTTCATCCAAAATACTTGTTTGAATTAGTCATTGGTCAATTGATTGAACCATTGGGTATCCATCCAAAATATTTGTTTGAAACGGTCATTGGTTACTTGATTGAACCATCAAGTATCCATCCAAGATTAGTTCTATTGATTAATACTTATTTGAGCCGATCATTTGTTACTTAATTAAACTATTGAATAGTAAGTAAATCACATAAGTGAATTTGATACAATAATATAACTATAAACCCTTAAAGTATTAAGTAAATTTTTCTCATTTATATATTATTCAACATATTCAACGTTAATTGATGTGAGACTCACTTTATTCTTAAACTCTATAACAAAACCCTTATTATGTTATCTTTTCAAATTCAATCCCATACCTAAACTTTATAATTTAATTCCTCGTTGATCTAAGTCTATATATGGAGATATATTTTAGAATATATTATTTGGAATAATTTAAAAGGAAATTCATTTAAGTTGATAAAAATTGATTATAACTTATATAATTTTAAGTTTGATGTTTAAATTTATATTATATAAATACATGATTAAGTTATTTATTCAAATATATCTTTAATTAATCCTCGTGAGATGAATTTGAGGCAAATTTTAATTACTGAAGAGCTAACTAATTAATGGAAGTAGATTGGATGAATCCGTATGTTTTGGTAGATTAAAATAAGGATAAGGATATCAGTAGTGAGGGACTTAAATATGCGATTTTCTGCCAATAAAAGTATTATATTTCTTGTAAGTGTACTATAATTATTTTGCAACTGTATGTGGATTTTTTTTATTTTTTTATTTTTTCGTAGGCCAGATAAACCATTGTCATGCTATAGTACATTTCCATATAGACTTGAGTACTGCTAACTAGTACGAAGATAATAAGGACGAGCTACGGACGAATAGATGTGTCGATATTTTATTGGATGAGTTTAAATACAAATATAAAATAAAAGTAAATTTGACAGAAATCATGTGGGTAAGTTATCGTATACTGATTTGGTCAGATTGATGCGCTATTTATTCGTACCATTATGAATTTTCCTTCTATGTTATATAATAGCTGACACCATAATAATTAACAAAAAGAAAGTAATTGCTACATATGATTTTTAAACAAATTAGAAATGTTCTCTCTATAACTTGCCAAAGTGCCAATGCCATATTTGTATATTGAATCTATGATTTAGCTGAAATGTTTAAAAATGTGAAAATGGTTAAAGTCATGACCATTATTTAGTTTGCATATTGTTTAACAAATATATTTGAAACCTACCAGTTTTTTAAATATTTATACATTTCTTTCATTACTATATTACTAAGGGTCCAGCTTAACACATACAGAGTTTTTCTTTTCTAATTTTCATTTATGTTTAGGTTTAATTCAACTCCAAAAATTATCGTGAAGATTATATAATACTTATATATACTATTTAAATTGTATGTATCAAAAAAATTAATGTGTCATCACTATAACAAAATTATATAGTGACACACACCCTATAGTGACATTATACATGTTATTAAAAATTATTGATACAATAATTATAATATATGTTGGTATATTATTAAAAAGTGTGAATATAAACTATAGTGACACACAAAATATATTGTTAAATCTCATTCAAAATTAACACTAAAATTATGTATAACTATATGTCAAATAGACATATACCTACATATATAATACTTATAATGACATTTTTTGTATGTTATTATATGTAACATTTTTTGTAGTGAATTTTTAACATGCCTTTTTATTATATGTTGAAGGCTTAATATTTCAAGTAGTGTTGGTAGAACTGAACTTCTATCAGTGATTTAATAAGTAGCATGATATATAGACCCAATCATAATTATAATTGAGAAAAATTTTAATATCATTTTTAAAGTTTAAATTTAGGGATAATTCCTAAAAGTTAGTTCATGTAGAAAGAAGGTTGTCTTTTACTTTTATATAAGTCATCATATTAGTCGATTAGAACATTCTCAATCAAAAACTAATGCCTAGAAACATTGTGCTCACTGTGTGGGTGGGTGATTATTTTTTTTTTTCTTCGTTGAATTAATCAATAGTATTCTTCAATTAGTTACAAATTAATCCATCCAAAATTTAGAAAGTATCAAAATGAATTAATTCCGTCTCTTCTAATAACATTTTTTTCCATACAATTATAATCAATATGTCTAACAGACTCATTATCATATACAATTATACTTTGTAGGTTCAAAGAACTTGAGACGAAGGCTCCACGTGTCCAAAGCATCCAATGCGGCAAAAGTCAACATCAATTAAAGAAAGGAAAGTCAAAAGTCTTCCCACAACCCTTTTCCTTAATTCTTAACGTAACTGCCACATAATTAGTTCAAGCTTTCAAGCGAGTTGTTGATGGTTGTAATGGTGTGCATGCTTTAGCTTTGATTTTACTGATTTTTGTAACTTTTGTTTGTTTGTATTGAAGGTTGACATGGATGTTGATATATTGAAGGCTTTGAAGTTTGAATCGGGTGGTTCTACTGTGAAGACATTCATAACGTATGTTTCTTTATTGATTCTATATCTATGTTGCATTTATTTGGTTTGGAGTAGTTGTTTTCTTCTTGACATGTTCTCTCAGTATGTATGCTCTTTGCCCTTGTTTGCTGGAGATTCTCTACAATTGGTTAAGAGGGTGTTGATGTAAGTTAATTCTTGTTTACACATTATGCATAAGCTTTAAAGTGATTTTGCTGTCAACAATTTCTATTATATTAGATGAAATTTCCAAGAAAAGAGTTTTGTCCAATTAATCTCAATTGAATAGATTTAGAAAAGAATAAACCGTTATTGAAATATTACTTTTTCTTTTAAATAGTCCCTAAAGTGATAAAACTATTTAAATAATTCCTGAAGTATAAAAAACCTACCACTTTAATCTTTAATTTGACTTTATTAAGATAAAGTCTAGAGATCAATTTGAATGGTTTTTTAGTATTTGAAGAATTGTTTAGAATGATTTTTAATAATTTTGGGATTACCTAACTTAAATATTGTCTCCATTTCTCTATATCAGATTTTTTTTTACCACATTTACAAGAATTAAAAATGTAGTTGATAATATTAAGTCTATATAATAATTTATTCTTGACATTTTTAGCCTTCATCGTAACATTCCAAAATTTACGGATTAAAATATATTAAGTAAGTTATTTAAATAGAAATCAACTCTTTACGTCTAAACACAAAAGAATTGAATAATATAACATTCTATACTAAAGTAAATAGGATTTTCATTCCTTGATTAAGTTAATATAGATTAATTGAAACAATGTACATTAACGAAGAGCCTTAAGTAGAAGTTGTTTAAAACTTAGCACTTAGTAGATATCTAAATTGAGGGACAAAAGTGGAAAATTAATTAGTAATAAAGTCTTAGAACTAATTAATGAGTAATCTAGCTAATTGAATTAAATCAAGCACTAGATAAATATAAAGAGGTTAACTAGTAAGGCTAGTAAAAATCAATTAGTATAAATAAGGATTAACTTTATATGAAAAGAAACTTAACTAATCTCTAATTGATTTATTTAATAATCGAGAAACAAGATCAAAATTATATTAGAAGTCAATAAGATTCAAAGGAAGAGATTTAGTCAACTCATTAATGACATATTGGTAAATTTTAAGAGTTTTGTTAAGTAAGCTTAAAAGTAGATTAAGAGTACTTAGGACATGATTGATATTTATAGGACTTAATTAACATAAATTAATTTAATTAAATATAAGATTAAACTAGTTATAGATTTAACTCATTAAAGATTAATTGAAAATCTAATGTTACACTATAACTAGTGTCTAAAATTAGACTAAGCCTAACCTTAATTAAGAGACCTGATTAAGTGTGTTGTATGTGTTGCCCTAAGTATAAATAGATAATGAAACCCCCTCCCTTCTCATTTTGTGCAAACGTCTAACATAGGGAGATAAGGGACTTGGGTTGTTTTTTTTAGTTTTTCCTCTTTCTCTCTCCTTTTTCTCTAAAACTTAGACCACTTAGAGGCCTTCTTTTTTGTTATATATAGTTCAAGTATGTTGCAAGGAACTTATGGGTTTCAAGAAGACATAATTTTTGTAGCATATGGAGAACTTTGATCCTTGCTCTAAAAGGTATGGAGAAGTTCTCTGTTATCTCTTGCATGTCTTTAGTGATTAAAAAGGTATTCTCATTGTATTATTATTGTAATTTAATTTTTGTTGCAATTCACATGGCTTCTTCTTGGTGAAGTGAGACCATGATGATGTGTAATCATCCCTTTGGAATCATTGAAAAGAAATTCAAAATTTTTTTAACATGTTCACTATTTTTAATAGGTGTATTTATCTATTTTCTTAAATCTGCCTTGATGTTATTTTTATTCAATTAAACTTCTTGAATATGGTATTAGTGAAAACTAGTGCCATATAAGCCTTCTACATGTTTTTGAATTTTCTTATGAATTTACAAGTCCTAGAAGTATTTAATTTTGATTTTTGATTAGAATTTTATAAATCTATCTTATCAAGTTTTTATTGAATGAAAAATAATTTTTGTGAGATAAATTATGAGAAATATATATGATGTGTGAAGACATATTAGAAATACCCTAGAATGTTCTTATAATATTATAAGTTGATATGGTGATAAATAATTAAAAACATTGTATTTGTGGTTTATCATAAATCGTGAGAAAATTATATGTTTACACAATGATGTTGGATATGACTTCTATGAAATATCTCAAAATTTAAAGAAGTTTTACTATTTTAAAAAATATCAATCATTGTTTTACAAAGATAGTTCAACAAATATATTTAATTCAAAAATAATATTTAAGGGTTGAATTTTGGGTATTTGAATTTATATGATACAATATATGTTGTTCGAAGTATCCTTGAAAATTGTTATATGTTTTAAAGTTGATTAATTAGTATGTCTAATAATTTTTATGCATGTAAATTAGTATATGTAAAATTATGAAATTTGATTGGATTAATTCTTTAGAGCATTATTTGATTATTTGGAGCACATGATTGATTTATTATACCCTAGAGGGAGACCTATGGATATTATAATAAAATTTTCAATTTTCATGATTTAATTTCATTTGATTAGCAAGTTTGAACCTTAATTTGTTGTAGAATGAATTGGAGATTGGGAGGAATGTGATCCTTAAGCAATTTGTGTGTTGGAAACTTAAAAGTGTGTGAAGAGTGCGAAAATAATTTGGGTTTAGGATTTCATAAGATATTTATGAGTTAGGTAACTAAGGGAACTATGGTATAAAACTTATGAATTTAGAGAAATTTAATCAAAGAAATTGTTAGTGAAAGTTAAGAGAGTGAGGACTTTATAAAAAAAATAGTAAGACATTGTAAGTCAAATGGTTGGATGGGTGCTCCATGATGACCCGTGATGAATTGTTAATGTGTATCAGTACAAATATGTGATTGATTGTCATGAATTGTTATGCAACATTGTGAATGCGATGATGTTGAGAAAAAAATGGAAAATATCATTAACCTTTATTCGAAAAGTACGATGGACAGTGTAGTTTATTCATGTTGCATTTGACATGCTTTTGTGGAAAAAAAAAAAAGTGATTGCATAAGCATATTCATATGCAAACCCCATGGAGGAGACAAGAATTATTGGTGGGTTTGAGTGACATGTATGTTATAGTTGCATATTGAAGTTATGTACTTTGATTTATTGATTTTGGGAGATGAAATTGTGGGCTTATGCTCGTGTTTCGTTACCTATAATTTCCCCATGTACATTTGGAGAATATAGCTTCATGAATCTTAAAAGAATATCATGTGTGATGATGTCTTAGAAAGGATGATGTGATGACCACAAAAGGTACCTAATTAAGATATGCTCATTGGCTTCAGGTCCTCGAGGATAGTAATTAAGACACCAGATTATGGAGACTTTGTGCAGTTAGAGAATTCACGTTTGTCAACTTGGAAAATCTTGAAAAATGTGAGGCATAGTCATGACTGGTGAGAGTGTTTACACCAAGTACGAGGGTAGAACGTGTGCTCCCAATCGTCATCCATAAAGAAACTTATAGGACCACTAGGTTTTAGTGGCATGGAGAGCCTAATTGGTGAGGTCTCTACTACACACATTAGAATGAACATTAGTTCTCTTAATTAACAAGGCTAGAAAACCACAATGTGGTGGTATATGAGATTGTTATGGAACTTTCAAGTTTGTTTTATGTGTGACATTGTTAAGGATAGAAAAAGCTCACTCCATAAATTTATTTTTCAAAGGGCAATGGATTGTAGTCGACTAACTTTTTAAGGTATTCAAGAGTTTGTTACCACTCAAACTTTTGAATATTTTGAAAGTAAGTAAAAATATTTTCAAAACAACTTAACAAAAGCTTTAAAAAAAATAGTTAAGATCATTTCTTAAAAGAGATTTGTGAAAGAAATTATTGATATGAAATTTTTTACATAAAAGTTTTTGAAATAATGCAACAATATGTTTTGGTAATCGATTACAAGAAGAGAGACCTTCAAAATTTGAATAATAAGATACAGCGTTTCAATTATTTTGAAATTTATAACCGTTGTAATCGATTACTAAACCCTTGTAATTGATTACTAGTGTATCTTTTCAAAAGAACACAAAAAGTTACACCTTTTTCATGAAAGAATACAACCATGGAATTTTTATCTATAAATATGGGTGATTTTTCTTTTAAAAGGTTAGGAACTCAAATGTGAAAAACTATTACAAAAACTTCTTGGCCATAATCACTTGCAAATTCTTTAAGAATTCTTTAAGGATCTTCATCTTGTAATATCTACTCTTCAAGAGAGACATTTGTCAAAATTATTCTATCATTCAATCTGTAAAGGAGAAAGTGTTTTCTCTTGGGTCTTTGTGGATCTCAACAAAAGGCAAGGAAATTTGGAGGATTCAAGTCTTGTAAGGATTACAAGGATAGTAAAATCTTAAGTGCATGTGAGACTTGAGGACTGGACGTAGGCAGGATTGGCCGAATCAGTATAAAATCAAGTTTGCAAATCTTTCACCTTACTCTTTTATTTATTCCTTTGATTGTGTTTAAGTAGTGTGCATCTTCATTCTTTACATATAAATTTATTTAAGAAATTGAATTTATAAGAAAGTAATTCAAAAAACTTTTAAAAGAGGAAAACTTGGAAAAACTTAATTCCCCTCCCCCCCCCCTCTTAAGTTATATGAAGCTACTTGTCTAACATAAACGATCTCACCAATCATGGATATGCCTCACATTTGTCGAGATTTGTCAAGTCAGCATACTTGAATTCTCCAACCACACTAAGTCTCCACAACTTAGAGTCTTATTATCCCCAAGGACCCAAAGCCAGCAATCATACCTCAGGTACCTTTTATGGTCATCCATATCCTCCTTTCGAGGACATCGTCACACATGATATTCTTTCAAGACTCACACAATGTTGCATTATCCAAAGGTACACGGGGTCAACTAGAGGTCATGCAAACATGAGCATAAATTCGCAACTTCATCTCCCAAAATCAATAAATCAAAGTACATAATTTCAATCTACGACTATAACATACATGTCTCTCAACCCCACCCATAATTCTTGTCTCGCACATGGGTCTGCATACGCTTGAAATGTCGTTTATTTCTTTTCCAAAATAGCACATTAAGTGCAACACGAACAAATTACACTATCCATCATACTTTTCGAATAAAGGTGAATGATATTTTCCATTCTTTTCTCTCAATGTCATCGCATCCATGGTGTTGCATAACAATTCATGACAATAAATCACATATTTTCACTAATGCACATCAACAAGTCATTGAGGGTCTCCATCATGAAGCACCCTTCCAACCATTTAACTTACAATATTTTATTACTTTTGATGAAGTCTTCACACTCTCAACTTTAACTTTCACTTACAATTTCTTTTGTTAAATTTCTCTTAATTCATAAGTTTTATATCATAGTTCTCTTAGTTACACTAACATATAAGTATCTTATGATCTCTTAAACCCAAATTATTTTCACTACTCATTCATACATTATCGAGTTCCAAGGACACAAATTGTCCGAGGATCACATTCTCCCAATCTCCAATTCAATCAAATTTCATAATTATACATATATCGAATTACATGCATAAAAAATATTAGACATACAAAATCAACTTTAAAACACATAAAAATTTTCAAGGATACTTAAAACAACATATATCACACCATATAAATACCCTAAATTCAACTCTTAAGTATTATATTTGAATTAAATATCTTTGTTGGACTATCTTTGATAAACAAAGATTGATATTTTTTTTAAATAATTAAACTTTAAATATCGAGATATTTCATAGATGTCATACCCAACATCATTATGTACACATGTAATTTTCTTATGATTTATAGTAAACCACAAATACCATTTTTACAATTATTTATCACCATTGATAGAAAATAGAGCTTACACAATAAATTCAAAAAAATTAATATCAAATAAATTTAGAATATTATAAGAAACTTTCAGGGTATTCCTAATATGTATGCATGCATCATACATATTTTCACACATCATACATATTTCCCAGCATTTTTTTATACATAAGTTATTTTTCATCCAATAAAAACTTAACGAGACAAATTTCTAAAATTCCAATAAAAAAATAAAATTAAATACTTCTAAGGCTTGTAAATTTGTAAGAAAATTCATATACATCATCAATGACATGTAGAAGGTTTCTATTTCACCAATTTTCACTCTAATATCATATTTAAGTAGTTTAATTGAATAAAAATATCACCAAGGAAAATTCAAGAAAAAAATAATAAATACACATTAAAAGTAGTAAATGTGGTCAAAAATTTTTGAAACTTTTTTCAATGATTCCAAAGGTGTGATTACACATGCATATGGTCTCATTTCACAAGGAAGAAGCCACAAAAATTCCAACAAAATTAAATTACAGTAATAATATAATGAGAATAACTTCTCAACCACTTAAGACGTGAAAGTGATAAAAGAGAACTCATTTATACCTTTTAGAGCAAGGATCAAAGTTTTCCAAATGCTACATAAGTGATGTCTTCTTGAAGCTTACAAGCTCCTAATCAACATACTTCAACTATAGCAAGAAAAAAGGTCTCTAAGTGATCTAGGTTTTAGAGAGAAGTTTGAGGATTTGGGGAGAGATTAGAGAAAATGAGAGGTCCTCTCTCTTACGGTTGATGGCTGCACTAGAAATGAAAGTGGAAGGACTTTATTATCTATACCTATTATAAATGAGATATGGGGTGAATAACCATTTTTGACTTCCACTTTTAGTAGATTATTTTATCCCTTATTTATTAAAAAATAAATAAATGAATTAATCACTGATATTTTGAAGTAACTACCATTAACCACTCATTTAATTTATTTTTTTATTTTTTATAATTTTTCAAAATTAAGAAGCACAAAGTGCCTCTTTTCTTTACTAGTATATTTATAGCTAGGGCAACTCGCACACTTAATTAGGTTTCTTAATTAATTTTAGGTTTAGTCTAGTTTTAAGCACTTTAAGCATTAATTCTAGAGTAACTTCACTTTAAAATTAATCTTTAATGAGTTAAATCTATAATTTTTAAATAAAAATTAAGGTATAGTTTGCATTACTAAATAATAATGACATCTCAACAATATTGACACTCCAAAATCTAACAATTATTTGTATCATATCAAAATATATATATATATAAAGGAAAAAAAAACAAACGAAAAATAATATAGGGAGACTAGGCCAAAAACCCATAAACAAGAATTAGCAAAACCTAAAAAATGCAAAACCACAATGATTATGAAAAAATCATCACTATAAAATCTAAGGAAAGAATCCCACCACCTATACACTAACTTATGATGAATCTCACAACTAGCTAGCCTATCTACACAAGAATTTCCTTCTCAATGTGAGGCAAAGAAACACATAGTAGAACAAAGATTAGTTAAATCATATATTTAATTAACTTAATTTAAGTATTAATTAAGTCTCATAAATATTAATCATGTTCCAAGTACTCTTAATCTAATTTTAAGCTTACTTAACATAGTTTTTAAAATTTACTTGTATGTCATTAATGAGTTAACTAAATCTCTTCCTTTGACACTTGTTGACTTCCTAATATAATTTTGACCTTGCTTCTAGACTACTAAATAAATTAAATTAAAGATTAGTTCAAGTTTCTTTTTATAATTAATTTAACCCTTATTTATACTAATTGGTTTTTACTAAGCGTTACTAGTTAATCTCTTTGTATTAATCTAGAGCTTGACTTGATTCAATTAGCTAGATTACTAATTCATTAATTTTAACACTTCATGATTAATTAATTTATCAATTATATACCTTGATTTTGGTCGTTACTAAGTGTTAAGTCATAAACAACTTCTACGTAGCTTCTTAGACTCTTCATTAATGTATACTAGTTCAATTAATTTATATTAACTTAATCAAGGATTGAAAATCCTATTTATTTTAGTCTAGGTTCTTATTATTCAATGTCTTTGTGTTTAGACTCGTTAAGGGTTGTTTCTATTTAAATAACTATTATTTACCATATTCTAATTAGTAAATTTTTGGATGTTATATAAGAAACTATTTTCCAAGATTGTCTTACCCACTTCTGTCAAGCTTCTAGTCAAAATATTAGTAGTGAGAAAACAAATATTTTCTTCTCCAAAATTGTCAATTTGTGAGTGAGTAATGAGGTGAGCTCCAAACTTGGTTTTGGTAGAACAAGTGTCTTAGGAAAATATCTTAGGGTTAGAATACATCATAAAAGAGATAACAAAAACACCTTCAAGCATATTCTTGATAAAATGGCTTCTAAAATGTTAGCTAGGAAAACTCAAATGGTCTTTTTCCTTGGTTGTACAAGTTTGATCAAATTTGTTTTCTCTATTATCCCTTCTCATGTTATACAATCTAAGAGATTGCCTAGGTTAGTCTGTGACAATTTAGATAAGACCAATTGTGGTTTTCTTTGAGGTGATCTATTGGGAGCAAGGAAAATTAATACAGTTAACTAACACTTTATTTGCCTACCCAAGGGTATGGATGGTTTGGGTATTAGAAGTATGTGGCACGTTAACGATGCCTATTTGATGAAGTTGGCCTAGGAACTTTGTTGTGAAAGGGATAAGCTTTGAGTCAAGGTTGTCCGTGACAAATATCGATATGGTGATCAAATCATCCCTATAATTAATTTTAAAAGATTGGATTCTATATTTACATGAATTTGATCAAATAGGGGGAGGGGGATAGAACTCTTATCTTTTTCGAGATTGACGTTTGAGTTGAAAATATAGGGAGGCTTCAGGACTTTGCTATAAAGCCCCTTCATCAGTCAAATTGATGAAAATAGTGGTTTAGGTTCTTTCCCGGACTGGAGAATGGGATAGGCGTTATCTTCATGAAATATTACCCAACATGTCTACCAAAACATTCTAACTATGTCAACTCCTTCTTCTCTCAAAAGAACTGACACTATTACTTGAAAACATGCTCCTGGTGAAAATTTTAATCTTGCCTCTACTTACGCCAATGCTATGATCACAATCCCGGCCCATAATACTCCTATCTATAGATGCATCTGGGCTTGGTCGGGGACCCGAACGTACACAAAGCTTCTTGTGGAAAATTGTCCATAATACTCTACCTAATAATCAGCTGCATTTTCAGAAAGTGGTGGTTAAAGACAACAAATGCCCCATGTGTCATTGCCATAAAGAGTATATTATGCATTCCATGAGGGACTGCCCTTCATCCTCTTCTTTGTGGTCTCTTGGTGTATCTAAACATCACCATGATAATCATTCCTTTTGGAACCATAATCTTCTGTAGCGGCTTATGACAAATATCTCTCACAATAACAATACAAAGATAGGATGGAGCATTTTCAATGATAAATTCCAACAGGACTTGGAATTGTTTGTTAAAGCAAACCACGTGGTGAAAGGTCTATTGATGCTCAATATGGAACAAAAACAAAATCATGCTCATTTGTTCCCTAAATTGTTCAAGTCCTTTAGTTGGGATCCTCCCCAATGTCAGGGTGTTAAACCTAATTGTGATGGGACTTTCTCTCCCCAATTATGTTATGTTGCAAAAAATGGTCTTGTCAAAAACAAAATTGGAAACTTCATAGTTGCCATGGCTTGCAATCTTGGAAGATGTTTTGTTATCAAGGCAAAATTGTTGACTATATTGGTCATGCTCTCCACCTCGCCAGTACTAGAGGATTCCAGGCTGTGGAGGTGGAATTGGACTCCTAGTTTGCAATCAAGATGTTGCAAAAAGGCCCTCAAACACCACTTGTGCAATGCTATTGTTATGAACACCCTTGCTCATATGTCTTCCTTTCAAAAGTATAGCCTTCATCATGATTTTAGAGAGACAGATGCGGCTACTGATACATTGTGTAAATGGGGTATGTCAATGTCGATAGAGACAAGTGTTAAGTTCTTTGATACTCCCTTGAATTTCTTGTGTCTCATCTTTTAGTCGATTTGTCGACAGTTATTTTTAGTAGATATCTTTTTCTTTGGCCTTGGTGTTACACTATATATATGTATATATATATATAGTACCATAGATTGGGAGTCTTTATTGCACTTTAATCAACACTTAACAAGAAAATTACCATTGCAAAACTGAAGTTTACTGTTTAACAAGTAACAGTTATACCAATTAAAATCATGTTGGACTCCCTAAGAGAACCAAATCAAATATAAATGACTGAAGTTATGCACTTCCATATTCTCTTCAACCTACAAACAACTGAAATAAAAAGTTCAGATATTGTTAACCCCAATCAACTGGTCTTTGGATCAGGCATGGGAAAGAGGCCAGCACTTGCACCTCTTGGCGGTGCAAAGCCCAAGAACTTCTGCAAATTTGTTCTGATGCTAATGGAACACAAGAAGTATAGGAATGCCATGGAACAATCAGTGGGGTCATTACCCTGCAACCCTCTATGGCTCATTTTCATGATAAGACCAAAAGGTTTGAATGGCAACTTGGCAACTACCTTGCCTTCGAAAAGCGAATTCAGCAACCCAAAGACCACAAAGAGAACCAGAGCGACCACACCACCAGACTTGAACTTGAAGAGAGACAAGTCACGGCTCGATTCTTTGAGGCTTGTCTCAACACGATCGATTTTTTTGGTTTTGGACTTCTTGATGTTGATTTTGTTGCTGTCTGTCTTCATGGTCTCGAGTTTCTTGGAGGCTTTGTCTATGGAGGACCTAAGGTTTTTGTAAGAATTGGTGCGGTAGATAAGAACCCATGAGATAGCCTCACAGACAATAGCTGTGCAGAAGGAGATACCCACTACAGTGAGGCCATCTGAGTACTTGAAATCTGAGAAGGGATATGCCATGGAAAGACCGTTGTGAAAAATCTACAAGAAAATGAGAATGCTAACTTGAATCTTGATCAGAATTGTTTAAGCGTCCAAAGCCTGTATAAATACACAAACATTTAAGCACACACTATATGATTCCTCATTTAAAGAACAGAAAATTAAAATAAATGCTTAAATTACACTGCCCTCCCCATGAGATTAATATATTATATATGTTAAGCTTTAGTTGGTTTTAGTGTGAACAAGCCTCTTAGGCATATTTTCTTTCTCTCTGTCGGTGACTCGTATCATCATCAGCAGCTAGTTTTAAATACTAATTATCACATTTTAGATTTTGATAAAAGTTGGAAAAAGATTTTGGGGAAAATCCAAACGACAACAATACAAATACAAATTCTAAAGTCTTAAAAATTGATGATCGAATGTTTAAAATCAGCAAGAGATGGTACAAAAATTACACTAGGAAAAATGTTCCTGTCCTGAGAGGCTCATTCTTAACAACTCACCACAACTAAGTTTTGTTCACAGAAACATCAATTATCTCCGAGTTAATTGAGACTTTTTTAGATAAACTTCTTTAAAAGTACTTCTAGGAAAGAAAAACGAAATAGTTTTTTCCATAAATTAATATTAACTTATGCATAAACAAATTTGTAGAAGTTCTCATCTATTAATTTCTCCAAAATCTTATTTTTAATTCATGCATAAGTTGGTTTTAACTTATGAAGAAACTTATTTTAATTTTCTTTCTTATTTTTCTCTACTAGAAGTACTTCTAAAGAAACTTATTCAAATAATATTTTAACAGATGTATCCCTGATTAGCATAAACCTAAATTACATATTGGTTTGAAATTTGAACAACTATAGTCCATCAACACCAAAAACCAAATAAAAAATCGTAAAATAAAGGCTTTGACAATGAAAACAAAAAAATAAAAAACAGCAGCAACTTAGTATGCAGCTAATGAGTTCTTATATTGTAGTATAACATAGACTTGAAATAAATAATACATATGAAATTATAGAAATACCAATTAGCTCCAAATTACTAAACTATTTAACACAGAGTAACATTAACCTAGTTCATTTCAATACCTCTTTTATGTTTGAACAAGGCTTAATTTCAGTTTTAGTTCCTTTGGTTTAAAATATGTTCAACTTTGGTCCCCGCAAGTTTTTTGCAAGCCAATTATGTCCTTCTATTCATAAAATTAAGCAAATTCGATCTCTGACAGTTTTCTTTCATCTAAAACCTCTGATTATCATTTTCTAACTATACATTGTGGAGGTTTATGATGGATTAGAAAAAAATTGATAATATTTGAAGGATTTTTTAGAATGTGATATTAGGGTTTGAAAAGGAGAAATTTTAAGTTTATTTTATTTTATTTTGGGTGAAATGTGATATTTTGGATGGTGAATTTTGTGTAGAAGATGTAAAAAAATTTAACTGATTAAATTTGTAAGGACTGAGTAAAAGAATGACAATTTGATTCAGGTAGAAGAAATTTGGTAGAGGGACCAAATTTGCTTAATTTTAAAAAAAATGGGACTTAATTAGCTCAGAAAAACGTATCAGACCAAAATTGCAAAGTGCAAACTAAAGGGATCAATAGTATAATTGAACCTTTGAACAAATCATTGCCCTCAATACCACAACAAGCAATCATCAAAGATTTAAGCTAACAAACTCAGACATCTTGCAGTCTATGTGATTATTGTAGAATTTAAAAATTCTAAAATGCAGGAAGAAAAAGATAAAACGGAACAAATATGTATGAAAATAATAGCAAAAGAACTTATCCATATGCCAGGTACTTTTATCAAATCTTCATGCCTATGTTTAACAAAACGAAAAGCAAAAGAATGTGTCTTGTGCAAAAAGAACCAACAGTGAATTTGGACTTGTCATTACTATTTTGCCGGTCATACATTAAATGCTCAAACCAATTTAGTAACAGAAAATAAGATCAAGATAATTAAAAAGTGTCAAGAATTCGAGTTTTCTAAGATACAAACCAATCAAATTCATTAAATTCCCTAATCATTGATCAAGAAATAACTTCATTGTTCTACAACAAAATAACAAGATTGTTTTACCTGACCAAGCATCAGCTTCCCTTCAAGTCTAAGGTTTCAATATAAAGCCTGCAAATTCATAAAAAACGAAAATGATGTAATGTCACATCACACAGCAGCAACAAAATTTATATAGTTCAAAACAAAAAATAATCACATAATACACCCCGTATCCATCTTCCCAGAATCAATTTCACTCAATTTCAATAAATAAATAAAAATAAATAAAAAAAGGTCAATGAACCTTAGAGTTCTGATATTAAATTGGCTCTTTGATATAAAGAAATCAATTACCGAATAAACTAACATCACTAAAGTGATTATCGAAATCTCAGTTTTCCCCACATACAAATGCTTACTCTATTACTCAAAAAGTAAGAAATGTCATACACGTTCAGAATAACAACATAGTAACAACAAAATCAGCATCTAAAGCAAGACAAGAAAACCAGCAATGGATCAAAGTTGACAATCTTCTAAGTCAAGATTAACTCTCAGTTTGTAAAAGAGGAACATAACCTAATCTCACGAATTACAGAGCGCATCTCTGTTTCAAATCTCAGTGGTCAACATATCAAACTACCAATTCTCGAACATAAAAAAATAAATAAATACCTCTCCCAACTTCATTAACTATCAAAAAAATAATAATAATAATAATAATCAAATCATGTAACCCCTTTTTCTGCTCAGTAAAACTCTCAACTATTTAACATTACATTATAGCAAGTTTGCCTCTACTTATTAGCAAAAGTATAGTGAACAAACAAATGTAGAAAATTTGGGATAACGTTTAAAAATACAAATAAAAAACTTCATTAAGAACATAAGAAATCCAAACTAGATCTGTCACGAACCGATGAAAAATACAAAAACACAGAAAAAATAAAAGCGCCGATTTCTGAAGCGCTAGAATAGTGTGGTTCCTAGAATGGATCCAAATTAAAAAGCATATAACACTATATATTTGATCTGCGTTTTGAAGTTAGATCTGTTAAAATTTCGAATTTAACGTTTCTTTACCTACCTGTCGTTGATCTCAATCACTATTCAAAGTCGCACACAGTTGATTAAGGTCGCGGTGGTGCTCTGGGTTCTGTGTTCCGTTCGCCGTAAAATCAAATTAAATTAAATCACTATAAAACTCACACAAAACAAATGGCTTTCATGATCGCATTGCAACTTGGAACTGTTAGGCCCATTCAGCCCATTCAGCCCATTTATGATTTCTGTTCGTTGGACCTGGATACTAACTTATCCTTCTATCGCTTTTAATTAATCTTTGTTTATCTTTATTTTGAAATTAATCTTAATATCTTTTATAAAAATATTTTATATTATAACATAATCAATTTTTATATATTAAATACTAATTTTTATCTTTGAGTTTTTTTAGAGATATTTTTAATTTATTTTTATTTTTTATTTATCATAATTATTTATAAATTAAATTATAATATTTTAATAAATTATTAATAAATAAAAATTATATTATATAACAATAAAAACTATTTCATCTTAAATTTGGAATATAATTTATCCGTTTTTATTAAAAAATAATATATAATTTATATGCTTAAAAATATTTGTTGATATAAATTTTTAATGTGATTTATTTATTCACATATGGTATCAAAAATATTTATTTCATTATATATAATAGATATGAAAAAATTATTAATTTTTTTCAAAATCTAAAATATAATTTATATTTTAAGAATATTTATTTATTACAAAATTTAATTGTAATATAATTTATATATTTAAAAGTTTACTTATTATAAATTTTAACTATATCAAATTTTGATCACTAAAATATTATTTATATATTTATTATTAGTTATAATTAATTTATCAAAAAATTACTTACATTTTTTTGTTAAGAAAAATCTAAATGCAAAACAAGATCCTATTTTTTTTGTTAAGTATTGTGATGATATCTTTCTTTTATATAAACTAATATTTTAATTTGTACAATGTATAGGTTAAATAATTGTATAAAACCAAAATTTAAAATAAAGTATGTATATAAATAAATATTTTATTTTAATATATAAATTATATTCAAAAGTTGAATAAACAAATATTTATAATATATAAATTATATTATAATTTATAATAAAAAAAATATTATAGAAAAATATTATTTTTATTTTTGTTAATTTATTTTAAAATATTAAAAATTAACTTACAAATAATTATTAAAAATAAAAATCAAATTAAATATAAAATTTTAAAAAATCTCTAAAATCTATCTCATAAAAAAAAATCCCGTACAAGATAATTCATATTTTATATATAATAATTGATTAAGATTAATATATTGAATATTACTAACAAAAATATTTGTACTCATAAATATCTTTAAAATTTTAAAACTTTTATCCACTTAAAGTCTCGAAAACCCCTAGTCCTTTCGATCATCCAATAACAAAATTTAAAGGTCTATATAAACATTCTAGCATATTATTACTCAATTATATGTATATAATTACATTAACAACTAAAGAATTGCACAAGGTATATAATTACATTAACAACTAAAGAATTGCACAAGAGTACCAAAATTGTCTGAGAACGTATCATATAGTAGTCACAAAACACACGAACAAAATATTAACATTTATTTAGGAGTATTCACAACCTATTCAAATAAAATAAACATAAAATACAGTCATTGACAAACATAAGACATATAGGACAACCCTTTTACCCTTAACTCTTTTTATATCTAAGCAAACTAATTCACTTTCCTTTTACTAGAAATAGGTAATTCCATAATATTATCCCTCCATATTTATTTAATAAAAACATAATATAATTTATCTTCACATTTATTTAAATATTTTTGTTCCTTAACTAATTCTGCAAATTATCTAACTACATTTATTATCAATTTCTGTCACTGATTACTTCTATTAATGTAACGACCCGCCTAACCGTTGCACAACAATAACATCACACAAAATAGAGTATGCATATATAAAAGTAAAATATATACACATAGGTCTAGCCTGACTCAATATATCAATTTACAAAATACAACCAAAATAGCTATACTAAGTAGTCAAAACAACAAAACATCAACTCCATCTTCCAACTGCAGACCTGCTACTATACTCCAACCTATCCCTGCTCTACTCTCATACATAGTATGATCATTGTAATTCAATCCACATGGAAACAAACAAGGGTAAGCTAGTGAAAAGAATCCGCATATAATTCAATTATAAACAACTTCAACTAACATCACATCATCGAATTCAACAAGGTTGACATACAACACATCATAACATACATCTACAGCTCAGCTTCACAACACACTACATATATACGGCTCACATCATTTAGCAAAATCAACATCAAACAGCTTATGCGTCGTCACGCATTTCAACTCGGAGATCTCCTACAGCTTAGTCTTACGGCCTACAACAGTTTAAACAGCATACAACACAGCTCGACTTAACAACATCAATCAGCATAAACATCTTACAACACAACTCATCATTAATCAACACAAACAACATACAGCACAACTCAACTTTACATCATATAGCATTAACAGCATTCATCAGCATTAATCAACATTAATCAGCATAAATCAGCATAATTAAAACAAAACACATCTGCGCCTGGCGCAATAGTACTTGCGCCCGACTTGGACCAACCAAAGAGCTTCAAAACTCTTACGCGTCCGGCGCAATTCCAATTGCGCCCAGCATGCTAGAAGGCAGAGACTCTCAAGAGTCTCACAAGCCCGGCGTACCAAACTCGCGCTTGGCGCAAGCAAGGCAGAGACCTCCCCAAGGTCTCACGCTTGGCACAATACCAATTGCGCCCGATGCCACCCCTGGTAGAGACTCCCATGGAGTCTCAACGCCCGGCGAGATTGAATCACGCCCGGCGTCATGCTAGTACCCCCAAAATGTTAAGTCACTATCTGATATGATGCCCAACGCGGTTCTTCCACGCCCAGCGTGCTTGAACAATGGAACACTTTGATGAACACACGCCCGACGCCAATAACTACGTCTGGCGCACTATCACACAACAATCCTCAAACTTCGAAAATTTTTCCCAAAACCTGCAAAATCCACCAGCTAAACCACATGCAATCCATTCAATGAACCACATTATCATCAAACAGCTCAAAAATCACAGCTTTATCAACATGCAACCATTGAAACTCAAAAATCCCAAATTTTTACCCTTTTCCCCGAAACCCCCAAAAATGAAATTTTTCATCTATCAGACCATCATTCTCCAAGAAATCAAACAACATGTGAGTTTCTAACTCACTTCCAAACAACCAGCACGAATCTAGCTTTCCTTACCTCGAAGGAGAAGAACTTCCGAGCTTCCGAGAAGTGGAGGAGAAGAAGAAGAATTTGAATGGAAAAGAGGAAGTCTCAGCAAGTTCCCAACACCTTACTCAGCACCTAGAACACCAAAGGAAAGAAGAATTTGAACAAGGCAAGTGAGTGGGAAGAAGAGAGAACGCAAGAGTATGTTAGTGAGAGAGATGAGAAAAGAGCTGCGGAATCTCACAATTAAACTTCTATCTTTTTTTTAAAATAAAAATAATCTATATTTATATTTATATATAACTATAAAAGAAGAAAATAACCTAATTTGGTCTCCATATTTATTTTAACAATTTTATCCTATAACTCAATTACAAATTATCCAACTACATTTAATTTCAACTGCTCCTACCAATTATTTTTACTTTTTTAGTTCATGAACATAGTTTACGGAATATATTTAAGTTCTATTTTTTTATTTTTAATTTATAGCTATAAATAAAGTCAAGAACATTACTTGATGTCCACTTTTGTTTAAACATTTTTGTCCCTAACCAATTAGGAAAATTATCCTAGTACATTTAGTTTCAACTCCTTTCTCGGATTTCTCTATTAAACTTTCCTCCTTTTTTATTTTAAGAAAATACAGACAGTTAGAAATTATCTTTCTCTTTTTCATCGTCATTAAATGAGGATTAATGAATTCATGTATTTATATATTTGCTTGTATGAAAGTTTTTTTTTATAACAATTTACATTGTTTAATTAATAAAAAGAAAAACAGTATTTTGGTCTCTACAATATCAATAATTAACGTTATTTTATATAATTAAAATTTATAATAAATAATTTTTTAATATAAATTTTAATATAATTTAAATGTGAAATAATTAAAAAAATTAACATAAAACTCATATTTTAATTTATAATAAATAATTTATATTTTTTTACAAGATTATATTTTATTATTATGATTTTTTTTTAAAAGTATTGACATTTAAATTAAAAATAAAGATAAATTTGACAATTCTTACAAGTCAATGAAATACTTTCTTAGAATTTTAATGTCCAGTTGGTTTCCCAAATTTAGTTTGTTATTTTAAAAATAATAATCACAAGAAACCTTATTTTTTTTACAATGATTTTTACATAAGTTTCTCACAAAAATATTTTTATAGAGAGGTGAAAAATTAACTTTTCAAAGTAAAAATAAAATTTTAATGTAGTAAAAACATCATAATACCTTTATTTATTTCTTTAATGTAGTAAATATCCTTTATTTTTAAATAATATTTAAAAAAGTTCTCATAAACATTTATGACTAATCAAACAAATTTTTATAATTCCTATAAATCACATTCTAGGATTTATAATTCTCATGCATGAAAAATTTTATAATATACCAAATACTTCCTAAAAGAAATAAGCGGTAGATTACTCCATTTGGTATTCATATTTTTTTTGGACAATTTTGTCTTTAAAGCCACCTCTCAATTTTCTTTTTCTTTTCTACCATTTTTTTAAAAAACTATTATAACTATAACTATCTAAAAATTGTTCACACCCTTTTATTATTAATCACTCACTTTTATTTTATTTTTAAAAAGATCACGAAGACATAAAATACCTTTAATACACCGGTAAAAATAAAAATATAAAAAATGTGAAATAGGATAATCATTACATTTTAACATATGCAATATATATGTTAAATATTTATTATACATAACTAAAATTTAAAATATATTATGTATATAAATAAATAATATGCTTGGATATATATAAATTATATTTAAAATTTGAATATATAGATATTTTTAAATATATAAATTATATGTTAGATTTATAATAAATACTTTATAATTTATATTATA